AAATATCGAAAAATATTCTAAAAAGCGTAAAAATTCCAGAATTTTTAGGCTTATATTTCCTCAAGTCAGTTGTTTCTTCCAACATCGCGCATACACACCAAATATCAGAAAGTTTTCTTTGGGTTTCTGCTGATTACCATAAGAATACATAGTAATAGAAATCTATAATAATAAATTCAATATGCTAGCATTGTTCAAGTGTATTGCCTATACATTCTTAATCTTCTTATATGTTTTCTGTTTCAAGTTGAATTTAAGATAGAATTTGAACCACCAGAGGATACCGCCGTGGGTATCAACCAATTCGACCAGTGGCTAGCGCCACCTGATGAGAAGGATCGAAAGTACGCGGTTGCGAGGGACGAAGAACGTAATACAGTGCTCCGTGATATTTTAAAGTAGTTTGTCCATTAAAAGCCGCGATTATTACAAAAATTTGTGGGTGAAAAGTGTGTCGCGATTCGTAACACGTGAAATTGACTTAGTTTACTATATAGAGTCAGTATCGTACTAACCTTTGTCAGGTATTAACGGCGGTGGTTGCGTCGTCCTTGGCGGTTGTTCGATTGCTTCCGAATTCGGTCTTTTCGTCCCTCGTAGTGACATTAACTGCAAAAAGAAGAAAATATACGTTGATTAAACACCGAGTGAACCAGGGGATCAATCTAATCAGTGCATCATCGATCGAATCTAACCGCTCATCAAACTACGCACGGTGAGTACTCCTTACGTATCCATGCACACGTACGCAAAAAACGCGGGATAGCATTAGCCGATGTAAACATATCATTGAAGTTCACGCGACGTAAGACAATTTATCAGCTTGTGAATGAAATAGCTGAGCATTGTTTCTAATAAGTAGTATTTTTAAAATATTCAATGACGCTTGTCTCGACATTCGCGTGAACCCCTGCATGTATTGAAAAAAGCTCGTATTAACACATTTCTCTCAGATTTAATTGTCACAGAAGACTTGGATATTCTAAAATGATTTCTTAATCAGAACTGAAACTTGATTTAGGCATTATTCAAATAAATTAGTTAAAAAATAATATCTTATCTCATCCGACTGCATATTATTCGAAATAATTGATTATTCCAAATGATAGTTTATCTTATTGGAAATAAAATATGCCCAATCCTGTTTCATATGTATATTGTAACGTCGTTGAACATTTGAAAAACATACTTTGGTGCCTAAAGCAGCCTCGCTCGCGAGGAGCACCGCTAAACCACGCACCCTTCTGCCAGCACCCACGCTTCTCCTTGCTTCGGACGTAGATTTCGCTTCCGGTCGCGGATGGTCGTGTTGTCCTTTGGCTTGAAAGAATATAGCATGCTCCGTATGTCGCCAGAAATGCGTCACGGGATAACCGCAATGCCCACGGCAAGAAAGTATCTCCAATCGACCCGTGCATTGTCTGTTCGGGCACGGTTTTCCTTGCTGCTTTTTCCTCGCCTGAAACAAACAAAATATTTATAACGTGCCTCGAAGATGCCATCAATGTCTGATCAAAAACCGAGGATAGGGAATTTACGTATTATTCACGATGAGTAATTAAGAATAATCTATAGATTTTCATGCATTATGCATCCAAACTATATAGAGTCAGTATCGTACTAACCTTTGTCAGGTATTAACGGCGGTGGTTGCGTCGTCCTTGGCGGTTGTTCGATTGCTTCCGAATTCGGTCTTTTCGTCCCTCGTAGTGACATTAACTGCAAAAAGAAGAAAATATACGTTGATTAAACACCGAGTGAACCAGGGGATCAATCTAATCAGTGCATCATCGATCGAATCTAACCGCTCATCAAACTACGCACGGTGAGTACTCCTTACGTATCCATGCACACGTACGCAAAAAACGCGGGATAGCATTAGCCGATGTAAACATATCATTGAAGTTCACGCGATGTAAGACAATTTATCAGCTTGTGAATGAAATAGCTGAGCATTGTTTCTAATAAGTAGTATTTTTAAAATATTCAATGACGCTTGTCTCGACATTCGCGTGAACCCCTGCATGTATTGAAAAAAGCTCGTATTAACACGTTATTTCTCTCAGATTTAATTGTCACAGAAGATTGGATATTCTAAAATGATTTCTTAATCAGAACTGAAACTTGATTTAGGCATTATTCAAATAAATTAGTTAAAAAATAATATCTTATCTCATCCGACTGCATATTATTCGAAATAATTGATTATTCCAAATGACTGTTTTTTTTTATTGGAAATAAAATATGCCCAATCCTGTTTCATATGTATATTGTAACGTCGTTGAACATTTGAAAAACATACTTTGGTGCCTAAAGCAGCCTCGCTCGCGAGGAGCACCGCTAAACCACGCACCCTTCTGCCAGCACCCACGCTTCTCCTTGCTTCGGACGTAGATTTCGCTTCCGGTCGCGGATGGTCGTGTTGTCCTTTGGCTTGAAAGAATATAGCATGCTCCGTATGTCGCCAGAAATGCGTCACGGGATAACCGCAATGCCCACGGCAAGAAAGTATCTCCAATCGACCCGTGCATTGTCTGTTCGGGCACGGTTTTCCTTGCTGCTTTTTCCTCGCCTGAAACAAACAAAATATTTATAACGTGCCTCGAAGATGCCATCAATGTCTGATCAAAAACCGAGGATAGGGAATTTACGTATTATTCACGATGAGTAATTAAGAATAATCTATAGATTTTCATGCATTATGCATCCATTATTGAAACATTTATGGTATTAGTTCAAAAAATGTTTTAGATATTCTTTTCGTTATTTAAATATTGAAATATACATTCGGTTTATATTTGATTCCTTTATCTAGAAGAATGACTTTTAGAATTCTTCTGAATAAGATAATACTGTTGCTTCAGTCGACAGTTTTTATTGATTTATATTATAATTTGATAGGAGTAGATGATCTTACTTTATCGCATATCGCTGGCCGAAGGTGAACTCTGCCACCACCGGGTAGTACACATTCTTGAGTACAGACTAGCACACCTAGGCAGGATTTCTTGAGGATGCTCACGTTGTGATTATTCGTATTTCTCATCGCCCATCCCGAAGCGTGTCTCCTCGCTTCTTCGCAATCCGGTCCATAGACCCTTCTTACGTGACCGTCTGCCCATTCGCACCAAGGATCGTATTCTACCACCTACAATTAGATCAAAACGTGTCTTCCTATTTACTGTATTCTTATATTATCGGCAGATTTAATTATTTAAGAAATGCATAATGTCCGCGATTTAGTTCAGAGCGGATTGTTTCGTACATCCCGTGATCCATTCGTTTAATAATTAGAAAATGTTCGTTTTTGTTGTTGAAATATTGAACTGAACATGCTTCAGCCTTCGGTGGCTTCGATTTTTATTACGAAATTGGGGAAATTCGAAAGCCGCGGGATTTGCCCAGACCTCTGAATATTCTCTTGGTAATTACGCTTGGGAATTACCAGAATGAGCAACAAACGAAACGTTTTTCACAGAAGAAATTAATAGCGTGTAGTAATTACTCTTGGAACGTTCGAGTCGTTGATGTCCCATTCTTGATGAGGGTGATGCTGTTGCTGGTTGCCGGCAACAGTTGCTGACATCGTCGGCGACCCAACGCGACTCCTACACAGAAAATGTAAAAAGCTATTGACTCAAGTCTGTCGCACAATTAATAATCCATCGTACGAGAACCCCCATAAAATATCATCTCAATTTTTTAAAAAATATACCATTTTCGGTCTTACGTATAGAAATAAAAGTAAGCACAAAGACTAATAGAAAATGAGGTGTAAACGTAAGAACAATCGTAATTTCACGTCGTAAAGTAAAATAGTGACAGTATTCTTATAGTCGATATTTCGGATATACAGAAATATTTGCGTTTATAAAGCCGACCTTGAGGTCTTCCGAAACATGAACTTCGTCGCATATCGTATTTGAGGACCAATTTTAGGATTGTGCAACCATCGGTGTAGCTCCGAGAGGCCGGCAGCTTCGAGATAAAATCCCGATTTATGGTATGCGGTTGGCCGTAGCTCGCGCCATACTTATGGGAGCCTGTGGGTGGCCTGACAAGGGGCACGTTCACCGGCTTTCCGGAATCCTTATATTCGTCGCGACTGATTCTCGATCGCGCAGAAAAGGATCAATTCACGGTACCATATACCTAATCATGCGCGCACAGAAATTCTTCTCCCTTCAACAGCTTTCTTCAACCCTCTACAACCTTGGAACCTCTGTTCATCTCACGCTAAGGAGATTCTCTTCTTTACTTCGAATTTGACTTTCCTATTTCCAGATTTAACAATCCCAGTATTTTCTATAGTCGGATAGGCATCTCGCGGTCGACCATTTCTCCATAAATTCTCATCTAAATGTTCACCGATGTCTGGTCACACGGCAGCTTCTGCCTTTCTCTCGTTGACATTAAAATCCGCGTTTATGATCTGTAGATCTATTACACCGCGCGATGACGATTAGAGGAAAATGAAACTACTGATATTTCTCCTACTTCTAAAAATAATCGAGAGAAAATTTAATTTCTTTCCTTTCGAAACTGGAGTGAAATCTAAAAATTTCAGAAACCGATGGCCATTTTCCGTCCTTTTATAAATTGTACCGTAAATGATTTGTATATTCGTATATCTTTCGACAATTTCTACTCGCGTCCTTTCGTTTCGGAGTACGCGTTCTTCAAACGCCGAACGCTCATCGGCTCCGATCGGTTTATCGCGTACTATATTCATGCAAGTTACTTCGAAAACGTTCAATCGTAAGTTATCGCGCGTTCCGAGCGAAAGCCGGCGATTTCGATTTGACGCGAAATAGGCGTCGCTCCCGCGAGAACGTTATAAATATCGACAGGCCAGGTGTCATTGACCATGAAGGGAACCATAGAAGACGTTCGGCTCGCCTACGTCCTATCGGGACAACCTGCTATCTAAACTCGCGCGTCTCTTTATTGAGATGTGACTACGTTTCTACTATTAACCGTTTCACTTGCTCGCTCAGTGAAAGTCCACGAACATTGTCGTTCGTACCAACGAAATAGTAATAGGTAGACTTCGGATTTTATATATTTATATAAAAATTGTATCAGAAGATATAAATACATATAGTTGTTATTATTATGAACGAGGAAGTCGGTCCCGTTTGATGTTTCTTGCTATTAATTTTACACTTATGGGGTGGATGAGACGTCAGACTTATTGGTATTGTTTGCAAAGATCGTGATGTAGTACAAAAAAAATCAGGAGTTATTAGATTTTACTGACGAGAGGCTTGAGGAGTTCTTCCTCTTTTGCGCGATTACATTCGTGAAAACCTTTTGCGTAGGTAGAGCACGGGACACTTATTACAACTGTGAGGAGTGCGCATTCCGTTATTCGCCACTAACGGGAAAATTCTTGTTTCTTCGCTACAGTTAAAATATAATTTTTATCTCCAAACGATATACATAAATTGAAATATGAATGAAATGCAATTTAAAATATTGTAGTTTTCTAATTGACGACATAAATATTTTATTTTGTCGTGTAATAAGTTTTACAAAGTGTACTTTAGGAGCTTGAGTACGCGAAATTTAAAGTCTTCAGCTGGGAAATGTTGCTCTCGAGCTTTTTTGACGAAGTCCCTCTGTTTGGACCACAGCAGGTTACGCGTCGGGTTGCGTGTTTCCGTGGGTTTTACATATCGAGTCAGGCTCTAGCACGGACGTTTACGATCTTCGAACACCTACTCTCTTCCCCCGACGCGAGTTCACGCTTCAACGCGTCGGACCGCGGTAAAAAAAATTTCCGCGATGAGTTTCGCGGATCGGCTTTGGTAATAAAACTCTCGATACAGTTTCTTCCGCGGTGTCTCGTTTGCGGATCCACAATTCTCATGAATCGCGTTCCTCCCCGAGTGGCAAACACGTCGCAGACCACATTGTTACATGTCTCCGGGAGTCAAATGTTTTCTTCGATCGATCAGGTAGCTACAAAGTCTCTGTTGCTGCCCGTAAACAACGTTATTGCTACTTTACAAAAAGCAGCTTGCGGTTGAATTACGTCCTCGGCAAAGGGGACTAATCGTCGGACCGTGAAACCGCGACGATTCGTTTGCGGATCGAATCGATTCTACGAAATCTTGAGATCCAATCCATTCTTACCTCGCCGAATATCCGCGAAAATTCGTGGCGGGCATTTCGCCCGGCCGACCGATCCGTTATGCCACGAGAAGAAAGCAGGAGGAGAGAAGAGAGAGAGAAAGGGCCGACACGCAGAGCGTGCGTTACATGGCTGGTGAGGAAAGCACGGGGCGGGTAGAGGAAAGAAGAGTGAACGCGAGGGAGAGAACGGAGGAGCTCCGGCCTAGGTGAATGATTGCCCGGATCGGTGATAAAGTCATCGCCTTTAGCACCGGCGTAAGATGATACATCGGTGGACGATGCTGCGCGGAGATTGTCCCGCGGTTAGGTTCGAAGAGGTCTCGAGCCACGCACGCATTCGCGGCCCCCTCTAACCCTTTCTCTCCCTCTCTCTCTTTCTGTATCTCGTCGAGAAGAAAAAAAAACCCGAGAGAAGGGACTATATCCTCGTTCCGGTCGGTATGGGCGCCTTCAGAATTTCAGATATTAAGCCCGATACTGCGGAGACCGCTAAAATATCACGCGAGAGCTGCCGCGCCGCGACGAGACTTCTCTCTTTCCCTCGATGGGCCCGCGGGACTAGCCTCGCATTCGTCCCCTGAGGATTGTCCCGAGAGATTACGTCTAAACGAGTTAATTCCCGCGACACACCGCGCCGCTTCGATTCTCGCTTTCCTCCGAGAATAAAATCTATCCGCGACTGGAATCTATACTATACATATAGTTGTTATTATTATGAACGAGGAAGTCGGTCCCGTTTGATGTTTCTTGCTATTAATTTTACACTTATGGGGTGGATGAGACGTCAGACTTATTGGTATTGTTTGCAAAGATCGTGATGTAGTACAAAAAAAATCAGGAGTTATTAGATTTTACTGACGAGAGGCTTGAGGAGTTCTTCCTCTTTTGCGCGATTACATTCGTGAAAACCTTTTGCGTAGGTAGAGCACGGGACACTTATTACAACTGTGAGGAGTGCGCATTCCGTTATTCGCCACTAACGGGAAAATTCTTGTTTCTTCGCTACAGTTAAAATATAATTTTTATCTCCAAACGATATACATAGATAGATTTTTATGAAACGTATGAAGTTCATTATTTTAATTTGAAAGATTATACGAGTTTCTTTGATCATTTAAGCAATGTGGTGTGCATGCAGTTTTTGGTATTTTATACATTTTTATACATTAGATGCATTCTTTATAGTTTCTGTAAGTCTATTTATAAAATATCTCTAATCTTCAATTAATCTTCAATCTTCTGTAAGTCTACTTATAAAATATCTCTCTAATCACCAATTCTAAATGAGGTATTTTTGTGTGTCTAATTATGAGGTAAATTCGTATAATTCTTGCCAAATTTTCCATCCTTTTTTCCTACATTCTCAATCGTATTTTTTTCATTTCTTCTATGTAGTATCTGATTCTCGTCAGGATTGAATCTCTTATCAAAGACACCGAAAATGTTGGAAAAGGGAATGGTGGCGAGAAAAGCATAATTATTAGCTGGTAAACTGGCAGCTTCCATTTGCGTATTTATCAAAGAATAAAAGGACGCCCGAGAGGAGAGGAGAGAACGGGAGTGAGTTCAAAGAGTTTCTCAGCACGGCAAACAGGGAAAGAACGTTCTCGAGATTTGAGATAAAGGGAGATCGTTTTACCCGCGGACATTCGTTTAATCTGTCTTCGAGGTGTTGGGCCGTGATCAATGGCGGGCCCCGACCACATCTATAATCGCATTTTCACGATTACTCGAGGATTCTATCATCCCTCATAAAGCTCGACAAATTTTCTTATGTCTTCTTTTTTTAAAGTAAATATCAATTAATGTAATACGAGATTGGAGAACATCTCGAGACGGAAGAAAGTTTTTGAATCGCCTAATAAAAAATACAAGAGATCCGACGAAAATAGCGAAATACTGTAAGTTTTACGGTCGGAATGAAATATTTATTCGCCGCTTGGATAGAGCCGATCGTAAAATTCGCGAATAGCGTTAGATTTGCACGGTTCAGGTATTACCTGGTCGCACGAGTCGCGCATGTGTGCTCAACAGCTCTAGAATACCCGTGGAGCGACCAATCGGGTTCTGTGATAACGCCCACACACCAATGAGAAACCCGCAGAACGCCCACTGATTAGATACAAGGGAAATCTCGCTGCTCGTCCAGGAAGAGAAATCGATGCCGAAATGGTCGACACCTGCTCCGGACTTTTTAAATTATCGTTTCGAGTTAGCTCCATCGACTTCTGACCCACGCCCGAACCTCGATTACGAATTGTATCTTCATTTCGAATGTAAAAACTAATTTTTGAGTCCCACGATTTCTGAATACTATGCAATTCTTTAGATTCATATATTTTCTCTTATTATTATATCAGGATTAATTTTCGTGAAAGATTGACGGGATCGCAATTTTTTCTACGATCCGCTATAAAATTCTTGATGAAAAAAATAGAATATTTGTGAGGTACTTACAGAACCACCATAGTCGTAGCTGCTGCCTATGAATCGTCGAATCGGTATCAGAATCTTCACAAAAGTCTCTCCTCTTATCTCGACACTTCACTAATTTTTAACTTAGAATTCTTCATCGATCGCGATCACCCCGAAACTAGTTCATCATCCTTCAAACTTGCTGTATATTAAAATCTATCACTAACGATCTTCCAATAATCACAATCGTTTATTTTCTTGTCGATGCAAAAATGCGTCCTGAATCGGACGCGTCGATTAAAGATGGACGTTTTTCTCTGAACGCGGGAAACACCGCGTGTCGATGCGTGCGATACGAAGTCGCTCCGAGAACTGAGGCTTCTCCGCTCGAACGTGCGCTAGCTGGTGGCCCAACACGTTGCGCTGGCTCGGTTGATGGTCGGTGTCCCATGACGTGGTTAGTCCTGATGGAAAGGAAACGCCTAGAGGAGTGGCTATGCCCGACCAATCGGCTGTTCATGATCGTAAAAGCACCGGAAGGGTGCTCCAGAAGGGTGCCTAATCGCGCACCAGCAACAGCAACCCCTCTCGGTCTGCCGAAGGATCGATCAACGCGCACCCACCATTCCCTTCCCGACAGCGCCAGAATTCTCTTTGCGTTACTCGTATCACGAATTGGAACCGCACGATTCCGAGATATTGATGTTCTTCCCCACTGCGATATTTCGATACGAAAGCTCGTCGCGAGGTTTAGAGTTTTAGAGGAACAGCCGATTTCATTTATTGAAGACCAGTTGAATGATCAGATGTTTCGATGCCAAAGATCGTCGCGAAATTTAGAGGAATAGTCGATTTCATTTACTGACGACCGGTCGATTTATTAGAAGTTTAGATGCAAAAGTTCGTCGCGAGGTTTAGTGAAATAGTCGATTTTATTCATTAAAGACTAGAGAAATCGAATTTAATTCTTTCTTTTCTCTCGTTTCCTTATGAGGAACATACCTGAAGGTAAAACCGATGTTTAATTTTTTGGTACCCTAACGCCATGAAACAGCAAAAGAAGTTAGCCGGCAAATGTCAGAAAAATTAGGTAGCTGGTCCCTTAAGGGAAGTGTTGCAACTTAAGAGGGATTCGAGGTGCGATGGCACAGAATCGTATACAGCTCGCAATCAGCTGATTAAGCGAGCACGTCGCTTTACGGGGGTGTCCCTCGTAGGAGGATCCTCCTACTTCCTACCTTCGCCATCCCTTCGCCTCCGACCCTAGGTACCCGCATCCAAGACAACGGCCCGTTACGCTTCGATCGAACACGAAACCCGCGACGCAAACATATCCGCCGAGGTGAGCGAGCGCGTCCTCGAAATCGAGGAGTTGCCGCGATTCCCACCCGAAACGGGGGAACGACGCCTGAGCAGCATTCCTGCAATCGTAATTCCCCCATATCGTGTACAGTTGCAAATTACCGTCAGAACAGTTAATTATACGATATTAAACCATCATATGTTAACATTCTTCGTATCACGATTCTCTCCTGTACTGATATAATTTTTTAACAATTAAATAGTCGATTTTATTCGCAGAAGAACTGAATACGAATGCACATTACTACGTATAAAGAGTAAAAGAAATCTAAATAGATATCATTTTTTAAATTGGTATTACAACTGTTTTACTCTGTATAAAAATCCGCAGTCGTAATATTAATAAATGTAACAAGTACGATTTACCGCATGCTTGTCGTCGGAATGAAGGTACAATTCTATTGATTGGTAGATACGATACACTCGTGGAGACTCATTGTCACCTTTGCGGAACGATGCGTTTCCGCAGGATGAACCGCACGTGCGATTCCGAAGCGTGGGCACGTGTGCTCGCGAGATAACTCCACTTCCTACCACGTGTCCGCAGGTGTGCCCCGACATTCCGTCTAATTAGACAGCAAGATGTTTCTATATGTATATGCACCGTAACGTTTCTCAAATTAACCGAATTAGAAATTGTTTCGGAAACGAGAGGATAAATAGTCGATCAAAGGAGAAAAACTTGGGAACCGGCTGATGCCTTTCTCAGACCCCTTCCTGTGTACTCGAGGAACTTTAAATATCGTTGCGAACAGGGGTCGAGAGTGTCAAGGGGTTGAACGGAGAAGGGTGGGATTCTGATTGGCCTGTGAAGAGAAGAATGTAGGAAAACAGTTTTTAACGATCGACCCTCTAAAGATATTTCGAAAATCTATTAAAAACATACGTCGATTCGCTGTCGCTGTTAATTTTTAAATTAGATAATGCCAATAAATCAGCAAAAGAGGAAGATGAACAGGAAAGGTATAAAATGAGAAAAATAGGAGTGTACAAAAAAAGGCAGGCGAAATGAGAGTCGGTCGGAGGAAGACGCAAAAGAGCAGAAGAGGCAAGAGGGGCAGGGTGCCGAAGGGGGTGGCGAAGGCAGAGTTCGGGTCTGTTTAAACACAGAGGGGGTGCAATCAGGAGTGTTTGCTGGGGCCGCGAGCGAGCGAGCGAGCAAGCGAGCGGATCAAAGGATAAGCGGGGACGGGGTGGGTGGCCAGGCTGATAGCGCGCTGATTTGATTGTTGGCCACGGCTATTGTCCCCGAAACTGGCCTATTGTACTTGTTCCCGTGTCGGTACAGGCCCGGTACTTGCACACAGGTAGCAAGCCGCGGCTGGGAAGTGCGCTTCTGTCTGTGACACTATCTCTTTGCCGGTCGCAATTCCGTTTCCGCGCCGGCGGATCGTCCACCGATACGAGCTGCGAGGAAAACGCGCGGAAATCGACAATTATTGCGGAAATATCGCGAAAAAATTGCGCCTACCCCTATTCTCGTCACCGTTTTTTCTGCTGGCTCCTCCATATTTTATTTTTTTTTATTTTTTACCTCCATCGAACGAGGTGTGCCTCTCGTATTTTTATGGCTTCCCGGTGAACGAGTTTCGTCGCGATTTTTACGAACAGATCCCCCCGGCAGCGGTTTATTACGAGATTTTTTGCACCATGGCCAGAGATACGCCGTTGCTCCGTGTATCAGGTGAGGGATTAATCTACACCGGCGATCGTTTTGTCTCGTTTTTAACGTTTAAAGGGAATTCGTTCGTTTAACCTCGTCACGAAGCGCTAAACGTTAGAAACGTGGGAGGCGCGATAACCACGTTAAACCGTTCGAGGACGAATTTTCGTTGCATCTGCCCGGCTCGGCCACGAGCATTTGCATAGAATGCGCAACGCGTGCCTTTAACAGTGGCTCATCACGCTTAAATTATTCCATCACCTGTCACCCACGTGCGGAGACTCGGGTACGAATAAACTGTTCCGTTTCCGCGTGTTCATTCATGCCAATGTAGAATTTTCTAGTCGATTTTCAAGCTCATTGGAAATTAGGAAAATAGTATCATTTTTCGAATCACCAAATTAGTGAGAGTAATTAATCTTACGGTGCGAGAATTTTATTGTTCATGAAACATCGTATCATCAGTAGTTGATATTTTACACTTTTTATTAATAGGTTTACGATTTTTATCCCAAGTAAAACATCTGTGATGTCGATTTAAAAAATGAATGATTTTTCTCATAAAATCTATAGTCTATTTAATAATGAAAGCACACATCGAAGTACGCTTAATGTTTTTCACGCGTGAGAGGGAGGGAGGTGGGGTGGAAATGGTAAACGTGAAGGTTTGGCGTGCAGTGACAAGCATACACGTCGGAAAAACGCTTACCTGGAACAGGCGGCAGATGAGGCAAGAGCGTGTTGTAACATTGGTAACCCGCTCGCATCTCTCGGCTCGTGCCGGCTGCTTCCGGTTTTTCAAAGCGGAGCTTGCCTCTGCCTTCTGGGACGTAGATCCGATCTGATGTGAACTTTGTAATTCACTCAGCGCGAGTCACGTCACATCTTTACAGATCGTCGAGGGACGAAGACGTATACGAGGAGGTCGTCTTTGTCCCCGTATCTCGGAATGATCGACCATCATTAACCGCAATCATTGAATTCAAAGAAACGCAATAGAGTGCATCCTGATGCATATTGTATTGTTGATTATATTTTTTAGGCAACTTTAGTTTTATTATAGGGTGATAGGGTGTCGTTATTTTATCATTTTATTCGTTCGATAATCCCTTAATGTGATTACGACAAATGCACATTACTACGTATAAAGAGTAAAAGAAATCTAAATAGATATCATTTTTTAAATTGGTATTACAACTGTTTTACTCTGTATAAAAATCCGCAGTCGTAATATTAATAAATGTAACAAGTACGATTTACCGCATGCTTGTCGTCGGAATGAAGGTACAATTCTATTGATTGGTAGATACGATACACTCGTGGAGACTCATTGTCACCTTTGCGGAACGATGCGTTTCCGCAGGATGAACCGCACGTGCGATTCCGAAGCGTGGGCACGTGTGCTCGCGAGATAACTCCACTTCCTACCACGTGTCCGCAGGTGTGCCCCGACATTCCGTCTAATTAGACAGCAAGATGTTTCTATATGTATATGCACCGTAACGTTTCTCAAATTAACCGAATTAGAAATTGTTTCGGAAACGAGAGGATAAATAGTCGATCAAAGGAGAAAAACTTGGGAACCGGCTGATGCCTTTCTCAGACCCCTTCCTGTGTACTCGAGGAACTTTAAATATCGTTGCGAACAGGGGTCGAGAGTGTCAAGGGGTTGAACGGAGAAGGGTGGGATTCTGATTGGCCTGTGAAGAGAAGAATGTAGGAAAACAGTTTTTAACGATCGACCCTCTAAAGATATTTCGAAAATCTATTAAAAACATACGTCGATTCGCTGTCGCTGTTAATTTTTAAATTAGATAATGCCAATAAATCAGCAAAAGAGGAAGATGAACAGGAAAGGTATAAAATGAGAAAAATAGGAGTGTACAAAAAAAGGCAGGCGAAATGAGAGTCGGTCGGAGGAAGACGCAAAAGAGCAGAAGAGGCAAGAGGGGCAGGGTGCCGAAGGGGGTGGCGAAGGCAGAGTTCGGGTCTGTTTAAACACAGAGGGGGTGCAATCAGGAGTGTTTGCTGGGGCCGCGAGCGAGCGAGCGAGCAAGCGAGCGGATCAAAGGATAAGCGGGGACGGGGTGGGTGGCCAGGCTGATAGCGCGCTGATTTGATTGTTGGCCACGGCTATTGTCCCCGAAACTGGCCTATTGTACTTGTTCCCGTGTCGGTACAGGCCCGGTACTTGCACACAGGTAGCAAGCCGCGGCTGGGAAGTGCGCTTCTGTCTGTGACACTATCTCTTTGCCGGTCGCAATTCCGTTTCCGCGCCGGCGGATCGTCCACCGATACGAGCTGCGAGGAAAACGCGCGGAAA